CAGCCCCATACCAGCATGAAGATTGGTTTAGCTGAGCAACAAAATAGCCTATATGTGATAGTTTCTGAAGACTCCAAAAGACCCAATACTCAACCTAGAACCCACTGCAATGTTGTCTCAAAGCCTATAAATAATGACAAAGCTGCAATTCTATGGCATCATAGACTTGGCCATCCCTCTCAACAAGTAATGCAGCAAATGTCCAATTGTTTCCCTTATATTCCTTGTAAAGATTTTACACACCCTTGTGATGTATGTTTCCTAGCCAAACAGAAGAAACTATCTTTTGTACCTAGCCATACCAGATCAAATAAACCTTCTGACTTACTGCATGCTGATATTTGGGGGCCATGCTCCTTGCCTTCAATTCATGGTGAAAAATACTTTTTAACTCTAGTAGATGATTTTTCCAAGTTCACTTGGGTAATACTTATGAAGACCAAAAGTGAAACTCGACAGCATCTTCTTAATTTCATTGCCCTCATTACAAATCAATATAACACATCTCTGAAAATCATTCGAACAGACAACGAAAATGAATTCAAAATGAATGACTTTTACCTAAGCAAAGGTATCATCCATCAAACTACTTGTGTAGAAACTCCACAACAAAATGGTGTTGTGGAGAGGAAACACCAACACTTATTACATGTGGCTCGCTCACTTTTCTTTCAAGCCAAGCTTCCATCTTCCCTTTGGCCTTATACCATTTTGCATGCTACCCACATCATCAACAGATTATCCACACCTTTACTCAACCACTCAACACCTTATCAAACATTACATGATAAACCACCCACATTTGACCATTTACGTACATTCGGTTGCCTATGCTTTGCTTCAACCTTATCTGCTCATCGTACCAAATTTTCACCTAGATCCCACAAATGTGCCTTTATTGGTTATAAACCAGGCACCAAAGGTTATATTGTATATGACTTGCTTACCCATCAAATTCACACATCAAGGAATGTCATATTTTTTGAAGAACATTTTCCATTTCATAATACCATCATATCCCCCATTCCCACTACTACCCCTTTTTTCCCTACTTATGATCTCTCCCCGACAAATGCCACTTCTCCACCCTCTCTCATACCAGATGTCATCAATCCTGCTACCCAAAATTTCACCTTAACCCCACCTGGCATCCATTCTCATGCACCAACATTAACCATTCCCCCACCTGGCATCAATTCTGATGCTCCAGCATTAGCCATTCCATCATCAGACATCATTCATCCTGCTCGCAGATCAACCCGATCCAGACAAGCCCCACAATATCTTCAAGACTATCATGTTGGGCTACTTGCTGCACATCTTAACCAGTCTCATTCAGGTATACCTTCTCTCCTTTCTTCCACACCACATTCCTTATCTAAAGTTATTTCTTACTCACATTGTTCTCCTATGTATAAACATTTTTGCCTTAATGCCTCTGTTAATTCTGAGCCTCAGACCTTTAACCAAGCCAGTAAACACCCACAATGGCTTGCAGCAATGCAATCTGAGTTAGCAGCACTTGAGCATAACAAGACTTGGTCACTTGTTGATCTGCCCCCTGGTAAAAATCCCATTGGTTGCAAATGGGTTTTTAAAATAAAATATCATGCCAATGGCTCCATTGAGAGGTACAAGGCACGACTGGTTGCCAAAGGCTTCACTCAACTTGAAGGTTTTGACTATTTTGACACCTTCTCCCCTGTGGCCAAGGCTTCTACTATTCGGGTCCTCATCTTAGTTGCAGTGGCTAGAGGATGGCATCTCCAACAGCTTGATGTAAATAATGCCTTCCTCCATGGTGATCTCCATGAGGAAGTGTATATGGTTCCATCTCCTGGACTTTCTTGCTCTCGACCAAGTCAGGTTTGCCGTTTGCAGAAGTCCTTGTATGGTCTTAAACAGGCTAGCCGTCAGTGGCATTCCAAACTCTCAATGGCACTGTTTTCTCTTGGTTATAGTCAATCTCATTCTGATCATTCCTTATTCACTGTTTCTCGTGGATCTTCATTTACAGCCTTGCTGGTTTATGTTGATGATCTAGTCTTATGTGGGAATGATCTTAATGAAATTCATCAAGTTAAAGCCTACTTGGATGCTCAATTTAAGATCAAGGATCTTGGTTCCCTGCGTTATTTCCTTGGTCTAGAGATTGCTCGCTCTTCAACTGGTCTCACTATCAATCAAAGGAAATACACACTGGAGATTTTGGCAGATTCAGGGTTCCTTGGAGCCAAACCAGTCTCTACCCCTATGGATTCTTCTTTGAAACTGACTTCCACTGATGGTTCTCCTCTTGCTGATCCTACTGCCTACAGACGATTAATAGGAAAGCTACTCTATCTTACAACCACACGACCAGACATCTCCTTTTCGGTTAATCGTCTCAGTCAGTTTGTGTCTCAGCCTATGGACACTCACTTACAAGCAGCTCATCGTGTGTTACGTTACTTGAAGGGGTCTCCAGCTGCCGGATTATTCTTTCCTGCCTCAAACGATATCAGCATTCGTGCTTTTGCTGATTCTGACTGGGGATCGTGTCCTGAATCTCGCAAGTCCATCACAGGTTATTGTGTCTACTTAGGAAATTCATTGGTTTCTTGGCGATCTAAGAAATAGGCTACAGTATCTCGTTCTTCTTCTGAAGCTGAGTATCGTGCCTTAACTAGCTTAACCTGTGAATTGCAATGGCTACAGTTTCTTCTTCGTGACTTAGGCGTTCCCTGGACTCGTCCTGCATCTGTATATTGTGACAGCAGATCAGCCATTGCTCTTGCTCACAATCCCATTTTCCACGAAAGATCAAAGCATATCGAGATTGATTGCCACGTCACTCGAGAGAAAATCCTTTCTGGATTGTTGCATTTGCTGCCAATCTCTTCTGATGCTCAGCTAGCTGATTTCTTTACAAAACCTTTGTCTCCTCTGCTGTTTCGGACACTCCTCTCCAAAATGGGCATTCATGACATTCATAGCCCAGTTTGTGTGGGGGGGGGGGGTATTAGATCATACAACACAAGACTTAGTCAAGCCCACAAGACCCAAGACTCAAGTCCGGCCCACATCTTCCACTCAGCAATCAGTTCAATTTATTCACTCAAAGCCACCTGGCTTTTCTGTTATGCCACCTGGCTTTTCTGTTTGTACAACTGTTGAGTAGTTAGTTAGTTTTCTTTTCAGTTACTACTCTTAAGCTATAATCTCGTGTATCCTAATGTAGTATAGTGATGTATATAAAGGATATCAGTGAATCAATAAAGATTAACAATTCATTTTTAACCAAAATATGAACTCCAAGATGTTATGTCAGCAAACACATTTATGAAAAAATAAATAATGTTACGAATAATGACATAGCAATACCTTTCTAGTCAGACTTTGGAAAATCATAAGTAAATTGTAGATATATATTTTTTCAATACTTGAGTAGTTGTTAAACAACATCCATATTTGTTTAATACTATGGTATGATTACCCTAAATAATCAAATAATCACTTACAGATGATGCACTACCAGGAAAATGACATTATCCAAAGTTAAGTCGAAGCAAATTATTGATGGGTTATATGAGAGGAACCCCATTTATATCAGACACTACGGCAAAATAGGGTGGTTGGTTGCATTGTCCGAAAGAAATATTCAAATAAAAAATAAAAAATGAAAAGCATCATTGATATGATTGTAATTAGATTAGTTTGTAATCACTTATCAGTTGTTAGAGTTTGCCTAAAAAAAAGTTACTAGTACTTAGATAATTAGTTCGCTAGATAGTATTCATTCTTTTGTATAAATAAGACTTATAGTCTCAAATAATTCATAAGTTAATTGGTTGAGGTATGAAACTTAATTAGAGTCTTATTTGGTTATGAAATTGGGTTCTCTAGAATAGAGTGTTAAATTTCATTCATCGAGATTGTACCATTAATTTTACTTGAAGGTCGAATAATAAAAACTAAAAAGTACAAACAAGCCTTAACACTATAATTAAAGGGTTATATTGTTTACAGAAAAAAAGTTATATTTATCTTATTTAACATGAGATAAATCAAATTTTTACACACACATAATAAAGGTGGATCTCACTTTTATTTTTTTCTCTCCAATTATATGTGGGTCCCTTTTATAATTTTATTTCAGCAACATAAGATAACTCATCTCCAACAACATAAGAAAAATATTTTGCGTTTCATTGTTATGGTTATCTTAGCCTTTGATTTGGCTTGCATCTAATAAAAAAAATTCTCATGTTTATGTATATCTTATATGCAATGACTATTGACTAATATAGCAAAGCACATGTATTTAAGCTGGGACATAAGTGTTGTATGTGGTAACTTGTAAGTAATCTAAATGGGCATCTACAAGTGGTAAGCTTGGACATAAATGTTAACTTTACCTTTGCAAAGTGGTTTCAAGCGTAGAATTAGTTTTACACCTAAATTATGTAAGAAAATCTAATAAGAATATAATAAAAATTAAATGGAGTTTGTTAGAAATTTAATTGTGGTACTTTAAAGATGAAAATCATAATCAAAATAAAATCTTTCATGTTAAATCATTAATAAAATTAATAGACCGGAAGCTACTTAAATCCATGAAAAAGTTATGAGGGAACTTGTGTGTTCTTAATCTTTCAAACCATATATATGGACAATTCCTCTAAAGTGTCTCTCCTTTTCTAATGATAAAATGTCAAAATAAAATAAAATTATTATACCTATGACTTAGTTTTCTTTGATAATAAAATCATATCCATTAATGAAGAGTAATGATTTTTGAGTTCATATCTTTCATGAAGAGTAATCATACTTCAAAAGGGATACTTTCTTAAGAACTTACAATGCATAATTAATTATATATAGGACCATATTAAATAAATATCTGAAAGGCTTTACTTAAAAACTTGATTATGATTTCAATTTTTTCATTCATAGAAATTTGTTACAATTATCTCAAACTTATTTCTGGTTCCTCTCAAATATTATCCATGAAGGCTTGTTTCAAATCCTCACTCCCAAAGGATGCTTCAAGTTTCCAACATGAAGCAGATGCTGTCCTAAGGCAACTTTTCTGTTGCCAAGTTCATCAACCACACTCAAATCTTTACAAACATCTACTTTGAACCTAACCAGTGCTTCTGATTTTCCTGTTAAGTGAACTTTCTCAAAACCAAGCAAGTATTTCTGAGGTGCATTGTGCACCGCAGGAGGAGTAGAGAATAAAAACACCGTATGGCTACTGCTCATTTTCCCCTTGTTCTTGATCCTAAGGTGAATATCAAATGCCAAATCTTGACAATGCTCACCAGCAACATCAAGTGACTTGCATTCTGAGGAACGGCACACATGATCCTCAGCTAGAGGAACAGACATAAACTGAGGTGCTTTAACTGATATATGCTCCACACTAGAATAGCTTATTCCATCTCCAAATGAGAAAACTGTTTCCCCTTTATAAAATCTATATGTTCTACCAGGGTAACCTGTGGCAGGATCTGGCCTCATGTTCATATTGGTCATTGGTACTTTGTCTACATATGATTGTGGATACCATGTCATGGGTAGCCTTCCACCTGAGTCATTAAATCATCCATTAGTGTCATTATTGGAATGGGAAAAAAAAATTGTGTTGTGCTAGCTATCCAAGTGTTGTTGGTCTAGTGGCGTCTCAGTTAGACTCCAGGATTTGACCTATCCAAAGAGTAATAGATTCGATTCTTGAACTAGGGAGGGTGCAAAGGCTCAAACCCAAAACCGGATTAGTTGGGCCGGTTAGGACTTTGGACACCAGTTGATATCTACTAAAAAGAATAGTGTGCTATGAGGAAAGACAGTGAGTGACTTACTTGGATTATGAAAACCAAAGATAACATCAGCTATGGCAGCTCCACCAGCTTCTCCAGGGTAGCCAACCCACAAGATGCTTGTGATTTTATTATTAGTTTTAGCAAAGGACACATCCATGCCCCCTCCAGACATTATGACAAGAATCACAGGTCCCTTGGACACATTTGCAACTTCAGTAACTAAATGTTGCTGCTGTCCTGGAAGAAGAATGTTGATTCTATCAAGACTCTCTGCCTCTATTGCTTGACTTGCACCCACTACAATCACAGTGACATCTGCAGAGGCTGCAATTTTTTTGGCATCATCTAGTATGGGGTTAGTGCATTTCACATCAGGACACCCAGCAGCATAGCTTGTAGGAACTAAGGCTGTTAGGCCTTGTAAAGGTGATGTATACTTGCATGGAATGCCTGCAAAATTTTTATGAACTTGTTAAAATGTGATGTTAAGCAGAAAGTGAACATAACATGTCAGTAAAGAATCAATTTAACCTAAATATAAAGAGCCATTTCAACCCAAAACCTTTAGGTATTGGGTGAAAGCCTTTTTAATGGTTTATGTTAAGTGAAGGCCCATTAATGGTTTATATCCTTCTCTAACAAAGTCTTCGCCTTATAATAACAAACCATATGATACCTTCATAGTTTCCAATCATGGTCTTAGTAGCATTAGCATTGGGGCCAATAACTGCCAATGATTTAATGGCTTTGGCATTAAGAGGCAGTGATCCTGGACTGTTTTTCAGCAACACAATCCCTTGCCTGGCAGCTTCACGGGCAAGTTCTTGGTTCGCCGGAGTGCAGACATCTTTTGGACCGAGGTTTCCATAAGGTTGCTTGCTTGGATCACCATCAAAGAAACCAAGACGCATCAATGTGGCAAAATTGTTGGAGACAGCATTGCTAATGGATGCTTCATCTACAAGCCCTTTCTTCACAGCACCTTCTGTATATTGGCCTAGATATTTTCCACAGTTCAAATCAAGCCCTGCGAAATCAAAATTTGTATATAACAAAGATGAGTATATAGATTTCTTATATAAATTAAAAGACACTCTAAAAGAACTTTACACTATAACTGAACCATAATATAGTATGTGTGTATCACCTAGTTAAAATGTAACACTTACTTATTGATCATAAAATAAAATTCAAACCAATCTAAAATCAAAGAATTTTGCCAGTAACAATATTACAATTATGTGATTATGTAATCTTTTCACATGTAGTTTACCGGCCAGAATGGATATTGCTGCAGCTTCTTCAGGAGTCTTGGTGTAGTGCTGATCTTTGAAAAGCACTTCTACTGAGTCACAGTCAGAAACTATATATCTGCATAGCCCATATATTCATATTATTGTAAGGACAACTTTAACAACAAACAAGAACAATATACAGTATTAGATAAGACTTAGAAGGATCGAAAGATACCCATTTAGTTTCCATTGGCCCCGGATAACACCCTTAAGTAGGTCAGAATCTGCACAGGTTGGCTTTCCATTAACCTGATTGTAGGAACACATGACACTGGCAACATTCCCATCAATCACACAGCTCTTAAATGGTGGTTGGAATGTGTCATCCAAATCTTGCTGTGTCACCTAACAAAATTAACAAACAAAACAACAAAAAGGATGAAAATGATTCTCTACATTCTCATCCTTAACAAACACATGAGCTTGTAACCAATGTTAGATTACCACAGCATTGAAGGTGTAACGCTGAACACCTTTCCAGTTATCCAAATCATAGGCTGTATAGTGTTTGCAACAAGCAGCAACCTTGAGCTTGTTGGGGTCCCCATCATCACTTTGTTGCAAACCTTTCACGTACCCAACTGCATATTTGCTAGCTAGCACAGGATCTTCCCCTGGTGTCTCTTGACCTCTTCCCCATCTTGGATCCCTGAATATGTTAATGTTCGGTGACCAATATGTCAAACCAGCCAACCCCACATTGTGCATTGCTCTGGCTTCCGTTGAAACCATCTGTGATGACCATAAATTAATCATAAAAACCATTTCAAAGTTGAAACCCTTTTTTTGGGTATAGTGTTATTTATAAAACTTTTAGCAAAATATCAACTAAGAAAAATATCATGAACTCAGCATTTTAATTCCATTTTAATATCAAACAGAAAAATTCCTACTAAGAACTCACCTGCATTTTTGTTGGACTTATTATCTTTCAATAACAAATTGTACCCAAAAGACTTCCATTTTTAATTCAAAAGCATTAAAGATAGGAGAAAGTGAACCAAAAAATAAAAAATGTAATTACATCTCCTTATTCTCTTAAATCAATAATCAATAGTTTCAGCCTCATTGCATATGAAAAAATACCTGAAATTTCAAACCCCAGAAACGAATTTCCATATGCATTTGTGATATAACAATAAGAATCAAACCCATGAAATAAAATTTCAAACAAACACTCCAAGACATGTAGGAAGAACTAGCAACTGAAATGACTCAAGTTAACAACTTTCTCAATTCAGTAAAGAAGGGAAAGCTACCACATTTTCCCAGATTTTGAGGAGTTCCCTTCCGATCCATCACAAGGTAAAAAGACAAGCAGGAGATGAAAAGAAAAGAAGAAGAGAAATCTGACCCTTCCAATGGTTTGAAACAAGGAAGCATTGAAAGAAGCTGCAATGAGAATAGGCATAGGAAAACTTGTAGCCGCAGGTACCACAGTGGTAAAACGTGTCCCAGGACCAACGTTGGACACTCCATGAAGTGCCTCAGACCACCATTCATAACGTGGAATCCCAAGCCTACTCACATCCACCGCAGAATTCACCATGTTCCCAATCTTCTCTTGCAATGTCAACCTACTCACAAGGTCTTTCACTCTCTCATCCACGGACAGTGACTTGTTGCAGAACCCAAAACTTGCCAATGCCGCATTCTTGGAAACATCACAAGCAAAAACGGGAGATGTTTGGCTCCAAACTCGTCCACAGCTTAACAAAATCGTAGCAAAGAGAAACAAGAGACAGAGCAAAACAGAGCCCTTCGGTGTTTTGTTTTCAGCATAGGCCATTGTGACCTTGAAAACTCGAACACAAAAAAAAATGAAGCAAATGGGGTATGCAAATTATGAATGTAATGATCTTATATATGTATCATCTTAGAGGATTCAGAAAATAAAAAAATAAAAAAAAATGTTTAAGTACACGTTGTTTTTTAGCAACCCGTGATTTGTGTTTTGAGTTGAAGAAGGAAGACCCTATTAAATGAACTTGGTTTTGGCAGAGAGCCCAAAAGAACATGCGAAGGAATCTCTATATAGGTTTTTTTTTTGGATCAGCAAGCCATGCAGCTTAAACTAGTCCGTGAAACTGAGAAACCTTTACTATGTTTCTTTTATTGGGAGGTTTCTTTGTTCGGAAGCTCAACTTGCAGCATATATTTATAACTTTATGTGATACTAATAATAATAATGAATATTTGAAGGTTAAAATTTTCTCGTAAATTGGAATAGAGGGTCCCTGAGGGTCAGCACTCAGCACCTAGCAGTTGCCTGAAAAGGTGAATCACGTGAGGGAGGTGTGGCGGCTAGCTTCTGTTATGGCAAAGTGCAGAAGAGAATTGTTGCAGAAATTGCCCACAAATATTGCATGGGTAAAGAGTTCTCTGTATGTGACTTAACTGTGAAGAGGGTAAACTGAATCTTGTGATCTCGTGAGGTTTAGTGTATATTTCTTTCTAAAATCATTTGATCAGAATCGTAAAAGAAGAAAGAAAGAATGAATGTTAGTTAAAATTATAATCTAACCATGTTAGAGTGAGTAGGTAAAGTAGATATAAAAAGATAATAACAATTTCCTATCCCATATAATTAATAATGATTTTGTATTCTATTAATGATGCAGGGTAATAATTCTCTGAAGTGTCTAAAGAAAAAATATTAATATTAATACTTTTTAATTAATATAATTTGTTTATAAGAAATTAGGAGGACAATCGTTAGTGTGGTTTTGTCACAAAGATGTGATGTTCTGTTCATAAATCATTATCAGGGGTACTCAAACTTTCAATGAATCTTAGGAGCTGTTTCCTTTTCTGACTTTATTTGGTTGTGCCTTCAAATCTTGCAATGAGATAAAAAAGGACGGGAGAAAGTAAAGGAAAAAAAAGGACGGGAGAAAGTAAAGATTTTTTTTTTTTTTTTTTTTTTTTTTTTTTTTTTTTTTGCTTCTTTAGTTTGTACTTTGTACAATTTGTTAAAGGCTTTAACTGTTATTAAAATAATTAATGATTGCTGTTAATATGATGCATACGGTTAAGAAGTGGAGAAGGATACTTTTAATCTGTATGGTATTTTTTTTTTCTTCTTATCTTTTTCAATTATATTCATCTAGAATAAAGAAAAAAGAAAGTTTGTAGTTCTATGCACTGCAAATAAAAAAAATTAACACATACAATGTAGCACAGTTAAGTTTGGAATAAAAAATGAAGACAATTTTTTTTTTTTTTTTACATTCTTAGAGACTAAAACTACTCACAAACACTAAAACATATATTACCTTATATTTATAGAATCTTCACTATTTAATTATGATAAATGTTATATTATTTAAGTACGTTTATATTTTAAATGTGAGGTAATGCATTCCAAGAGATGTGCATGAAGCCTTTTTTATTGCTAGCTTAATTAACCTTAATGAAGCTACTGCCGAGAAAAATTACAGGTGCAGAAAAAAAATAACGTAGGGAACATGACAAAGCTTGATTGTTGGATTGTTCGCCAAAGTTCAACTGCAGTTTCTGAGTGCTGAGCTCCACAATGGCTCCGTCAGTTACTGTACCATTGGTGTACTGCAAATTCTTTTTTTTTTTTTACTTATTTAAATATGTGCAGAATCAAGATGCTATGTGATTCTGTTTTTAACTTTAGTGTTGGAAAATATGGTTGTATAGATATTAAGCCAATACAAATCTAATCCATCAATTTGTTTTTTATTAAACAATTACATAAATTTATATATCAAGTTTTTGTTTTATATTTAAAATGACAATATGGTTCTTATTTATTAATTTAGTCTGTTTCATAAATCATGAGATGAAAATATTATTCTTGTTTAATCATTAAAAAAGAAAATTTTGCTAACAGAACTTGAAAAACAATTATTAGACAGTGGTTAGGAAGGAAAAAATAAAATAAAGACTCTTGCAGTGGAATTATGTTTTGAAATTGTCAATTTGATATTATTCATTTTATTTAAAAATGGTACAAAATTTAAAAAAATATAAGTTTCAATTGTGATTTTGTAATATATTTTAATGTAAAATTTACTAAGTTTGTCATTCCACACGATTTAGGACATTTATATTTTATTAGTAAAATAGTAAATAAAACAATAAATTTATCATAAAGTCGTGCTAATGGCAACTACTAACATTAAAAATACACAATGAGCTGATTAATATGGCAATCATTTAATTATTAATGGATCAATATTACAACTTTCTCTTTAGGCTTAAATATTTTATATATTTATTGTGGTTTTAATTCAGAACTTCATTTAATATTTTAATGTACGATGTAGTTATAAACCATACATTCACGATTTTATTGAAATAATATAAAATGTTTACCTAACTTAACACACAACTTAGTATAACTAATATTAAAATGTGGCCTACAACTTTCTAAAATTTGCACTTAAAAAGAGATTTAAGTTACACTAAAATGTGTACTTGAATAAAAATCCGAGTTCATGTGAAGCCTGTCTGTCATAGTAACGGTCCAATGCTAGGCCTGAAATTCTTGACGTATTATTCATATCCAGATTTTCCCGCCAAACACTAATGAATGAAAATATCTAATATATTAACGTAGTACCACATCCGGCCAATAGAAACATACTACTTGTGTTGAAATATTTTATGAAAAGAGATTTTTTTTTAATATTATACCTATATATTTTTGGATATATATAATGAAAAAGGTTATATTTATAAATTTTTTGTTTACAAACTACACTAAGTATGACCAATCATACTTTAATCAAGAGTGTATGACCGATCATTAGGGGTGAAACAGGGCCGGCCCGGCCTACAGCTCGGCCTACGTCAGGCAAGATCTAATCTAGTATATTTCATAAAATAGGCCGAGCTTTGGCCTTGAAAAAACTTGTTTAATAAAAAGGCCGTAGACTCACTTTCACAAGGCCTAGTCTATAAGCCTACAGGCCGGCCTATATTGTACTATTTATTTTAAATTAAATAAAATAGAATAAATATGCCTTGAAGAAAAAATAAAAGTTATAAATTTAATCAATTGCAATAATTTATAACTTAATTATATTTGATTATATTTTAATAGAAATATGACTTTATTTATTATGTAGGAGGAACCAATATCTCAACATGCTAGATTGTGTATATGAAATATTAAAAGATTTTTGAGAGAGGTTATACTTATTACAATCATCATGATGTGTTTATTGAATTCATGTAGTTATTTTAATTTACATAGTATGGATTTGATGAAATATATATGTTATTTAGTTTGAACATTTTGCTTTTAAAAGTGACTTAAATGCAAATTGTATGAGTTTTGTTTTATTGTGATTCATGATTCTGTTTGGACGTTGAAATTATGATTTTTGGTTTAGCAACAAAATTTGAGTATTTTGTAAAGTTGATTCATAATTCTGCTTGAAGTTAAGAATTAATAGGCTAACGGGTTAGGCCAGACCATTTGTTATTTTATAAACGGGTCAAGTCAGACTAACACTTTTACCCCTATCGATCATACTTAGTATAATTCATAAATGGCTCATTCTCCTTATATAATCTATAATTTATTTTAAATGAGAATAATAATCATTTCTAAATCCTAGTACTAAAAATGTTCTGCTAAAAAGGAGAGCGAGTCTCACATCACAAATGGGACCCATTGACCCATTTATTCTTCCTACAGTAAAATTGGATTAAAAAACTATATTTTTACATTTATGGACAAAAGTCATGTTGCCAAAACAGTCTATGATCTTTTTGCAGACTTTGTTTATAAAAACAAGACATGAACTTTGGACTGCGTATACATTGGTCATGTTCATCTTACTATTATTGAATTATATATTTAAAATAATGAAAAGTTTCATTATTAAAACTCATCATAGCTCTACTCTACATCTATTAAAACTCACCATACCTCTACTAGGCCTATTAAACTCTTTATACTGAATAGATTAATTAATTGTTGTGCTCTTTTTCTCTCCATTGTCCATGTTTGTCAACTTCATGCTACCCAAGTCAATGAAAAAAACAGACTACAAATTATTATGGCGAGTCTGGAAAGCCATCGATTCTCTGTTACTAGTTATGTAGTAACCCTCATGAACACATTATGGGGTGATTGGCCATCAAAACACATTCTAAGGAGCATTATTTGCATGGTTCATTGAGTCAAAGCTATGATATGCTAATTAAATTCAATAGGGCAAACCTAAATTGGCACCAGCAGGTGTTCTCCAACCTCTAATTAACCTACCCATTGCAATGATTAAAAAGTCCAACCAAGTCTTAAGCTTCAATATCTAGGCTTGTTGTATAAATGCAATAATATATACATATAACCAAAGGCCATCATCAAACCTTAAATTTGACCGGTGTCTTGTTGCTTAATACTATTAAACGACTCTTAAATAGTAGAAACTATTTAAGGGGGTGTTTGGTACGAAAATTTTGATAGAATCTTTGAAAAAGTGGAGTGGAGAAAATATGTTTAACTTGTGGAGGGGTTGCACGAGATGAGCTGGGTAACTGGATTAAAAGATTCTACAGGAAGTTGAGTAATGGTACAGCTTGTGGATGAGGGATGTGTCATCTCTCACCCTTGCTATTCTCTGGTGAACAGGATCAACGTACTGATGGCTAAACAGTGGACAGTAAAATTATGTCACATATACAAGGAGGGGAACCAAGTAGCGGACTGGATGGCTACAAATAGGTTTGCTGCTGATTGGGATACCCTTTGGTTTGACAATGCTCCAATTGACTGCAGGAAATTAGTGTTGGAAGATGCTGATTGGGATACCCTT